AAAACATTGATTTTCAAGAATTCTATACCATTTCTAGGAAAATATTTATTTTTCCCGTATAAAAATACATGGAAAGATTTGAACGCTTGGAGCGACCTCATGCCATGCTCACTTTCTGAGACCCAGCTACCGGCATTTATTTCGACGCACTTAATCCAAGTCTGAGGTCCGTTTAACTCGTCCAACTCCTAAATTTCGAGTTAATTGCAAAAATTTTGAAGAAGGGCAAAAAATTCGCAACGTTCGCATTTTAATCAAAATTTTGAGGGTGTACGAGACAAACGGACCTCAGATTCGGATTCGCGGGTCGAAATACATGTCGGCAGGTGCTTCTGGTTAAAAGCATACACCACTTTCTTTTTGTGTGCCGGTGTAATCTTTCCTGTTACTCTAAACATAAATTTTGGAAAAAAGCTTCACTGTTGCATAATTTTAAGACCGCCACATATTAATAAGTTTTGAATATTTATTTTCATATTATTTAATTTCAATTGTGTTCTTATAAAAATATAATTCATTCTATAACAAAATTTATAAAAATTTTACACTTTGTTTTGGAATTTTTTGAAAAGTTTTGCGTATGCAGTTTTATATCTCATGTAAGTTTAGTATAATAAAGTGCAAGTTTGATATGGCTACAAAAAACCATTGATTTTTAGATTTTTTTTTTTTGTTACCGGCGTTGTTCATTTTCTTACATAAAAAAAAAATCGAACGTACTTTACATACATGAAAGAAATTGAGTGACACCTTAAAAAAAAAAAATAGCCAAAAATCAACGGTATTTTAAAATTAAATAATGTGAAAATAAATAACCTGTTAATATATGGCGGTCTTAAAATTATGCAACTGAGTGTAGTTACTGAAAATCGAAGTTTTCGCATGTTTGTAAATTGCCGTTATATGGAAAGTAGGCGTGGTTGTGATGTGGTTTGGTTCATTTTCGATATCACCCATCCTTGGCGTAAGAGAAGCAGGTCTATCACATTTCACAACACTTTTGTATATAAGTTATCTATGTACATATATTAGGATGGTCCTTAAATGTAGGAAGCGAATTTTTACAACAGATTTCCTTAGCCTCAACCCCTAAGTCCATGCTACTATAGCCGAAGATATCACATGAAGACGTCTTTACCGACTCCAATCGGAACCAAAATTTATATGGGATATCTGTGACCGTGGTATTACCAATTTAGGGAGTGAGACTGAAAAAAATTTTCTTTTGATTTTTTAAGGACCACCCTAATTTGCATATGTATATGTCTATGTCCATCTGAGTTCTTACAGGCTGTTACAAATAACTGTTATGCAATAGTTTCTTCATTAGTTGGTTTCAAACCGGTGTTTAAATCAGGAGACGAAAATAACCGTTGAATACCAAGGTTTATATTTTTAGATCATTGAAAAATCGTTATTTTTTATTCTTATTTTTTTCGATCAAGAATAATCGTTGAAAACTGGATTTTTACTTTTTGGTCAAATGTAATCGTTTTTTGTGGTTTTTATTTTTTTTTCGATCAAAAATAGTAGTTATTTTGGAAGTATACTTTTTCGATCATTTTTAACCCTTGTATTAGATACTGCACTTTTATGATGTTATTTAAGTTGTGCCTCTTGCCATCGACTTTTGTTTCTCTCCACATGTGTTAGACCGAAAGTCGGCTGAATCTAAATTAAATAATTTTTTATTACATCCATACGTTTGCACTAAAAATTCTTTAACTATTAGCTTAGTTCATTATTTACTTTTGCTTATGTGTGATTATGATAAGACATACTCGCACCCCTTCAACTGACCTATCACAGCACGTCTTGTACAATTCTTTATTGTGCTAGCAATTAAGTCAGCAATTTGTTATTTGATATGCAGTAAATAATTATCTAGCATTTCAGACTCGCTTTGTTAATGTTAACAATACTCATATTTCAGCATTTATTTGCTGAAGTTAAATAAAGGTGCGACACATATGTATGTATGTATGTACATACAATAATTATTTTATCGTCACAGGGAATACATATCGAGCCCTAACCGCCAAAAAGACGTAAGCGAAATTTTTTCAAAATTCGGTTTCTGATGCAGAAATACATCTAGAGACGCTCTAACATTTCTGCATCAAAAATAAAATTAAAAAAAAAAAACAAATGTCGCTTACGCCTTTTGGGCGGTACGGGCTCGATATGTATGTATATAGATCTACATATGCAGACAATTTGTACATATTTACTTACATATATTATTTACAGTCAAGAATTCAAGCCGTTGTTTACTGATTTTTTAATCTTTCGTTTCTGTTTTCTTTTTCTTCATGGCTACATTTTCTGAAGCAGGCTTATAGGAGATATTAGAGGGTTTTTAATACATATTGGATTTTTTTATTTCTTTAAATATCGTTCATAAAATATGTACCGTAACTCAAAGAGGTGACCACCTGTTGATTTTTTTTATTTTAACAATTTTCTCAAGTCGAATTTTTTTGGTTTTTTTTTATCTAAAAATACTGTCCAAGTTTTAACCAACACCATATAACTTAAAGTTTCAATCTTTATATAAAATTTAGGAAGATTTTACAAATTTTTATCCGGATTTTAAAGTTTTTAGTCTGAATTTTTAGAAGATTTTTGGCTATTCTAGACTATACAATTTTAGTCCAATGAAGTGCAAGTTTCCACCGGCTAAAAAATCGCGTTGATTTTTAGTATTTTTTTTTTTTTGCTGACGGATTTTTACACTTTTTTCCATATAAGCCATGAAATAAAATGCGGAAGACCGTTCGCAAGAGAATCCCAAAAAAGCAACACCAGTTTTCATAAATTTTACTTGTTATACATAAAGAACTGCAACAGCAGTCACCAAAAAAAAAAAATTCAAAATCAACGCGATTTTTTAACCGGCTGAAACTTTTTACTGCAGTTTTTGCCAAAGTTGGGACAATATTTTTATAGAAAAATTATAAACAAAAAATCTAGCTTGAAAAGCATTGTAAATGTTTAAAAAAAAAGCTACACGGGAACACTTGCTTGAGTCACTGTATGTACGTACATTGAAAAGGTTTTAATATAATTACCGCAGTTTTTTTTGGAATTGCTCCAAATACTACATAAGTGCACTGATAAGATATTAAAATGGTTTAAAATTTTAAATAATAAGTATATCTACAATAGAAGGTTCGCCCTTTCAGGGTTGCAGACATTTTGTCGCCTTCTATGAGCTACATATGTGGAGCAGATAAAGTTTAAAGGTGTGACGAAATTGTCAGATGATTTTTTTTTTTTCAAAAGAAAGAAAAAGCACACATATGAGACCAAATATTATATACCGCAATGTCTATATTAATTTTTACTGATGAACAGACGTGGTGATCTCCGAAATAGCAGCTATAACTTCTACCGCTTAGACTTTATTGCTTTTTCCATTTTTCTCTAAAACGAAAATCGTGGCATAAAGCTCAATAACACTGTTGAAAGATAGGACATTGATCACTTAAACAGAGCTCACATCAGATAGTTTTTTTTTCACACGGCTCTTATTAGTCTCAAGCTTGCCCATTCCTGGCCTATTAAAATAAAACTCATTATTTTTGGATGTTGCTTGCGCCAGAAATTTATAGAAAAATATGTAACTAAATCTTAGGTTTTTGCTAATCAATAGATTTGTTAGAAATCCCACGCTTATATGGGCTTAGGCAAGGGCGATGCAGATCTTTGACAACAATTATGTATGTATGTATTTGTGATATATTGATGCCAGACAATTATTATTATTTATTATTTATTCAATGCATTAGGATAATAAAATTAACCTAAACAAAATAAGATTAAGCTCTAGCAACGAGGCTGAGTAGCTGGATTCTTTCGGTCTTTTCTATAAGTATGTCCTTTATTAGAGCTATAGTTTTGTCAGTATGGTTGACAGCATGCGGTGAGGCCAATGAGTCGATACAGATCATGTATTTCTGTCTGTTAACTTTAGCTATTTGGCAAGCATTCAAGATTGCGGTTGCTTCACCGGCGAACACAGAGGCATGCCGGGGAAGTTGGGCCAACGCGATTACCGAATTTTTGTCTACGACGCTGAAACCAATAACATCATTACCCTTGGATGCATCGGTGTAAAAAGTTATCCAGTTTTCGTGTGCACCACAATTGTTTTGAAATTCTTGTTTATAGACGATAGCAGAAGTATTGCCAGACAATTGGGACCACAGGTCAGGGCAAACTTACTCCTGAAGCGATACTCAGTTCAACAACGCGTAAATGTTATTTAAACGTGCGGATTTTTCTTTCTAAAAAAAACTTCATGGGCGCATTTTTTTTTGTCGGAACCAGGCAAAACACAACGCGTGCAGATGAATGGATACGTCAACAAGCCAAACTGCACCCACTGCAAGAAACAACTATGGACCTACAACGAGTCAGTATTTGTCATAATTTTTGGGCTGGCGGAGTCATCGGACCGTACTTCGAAAATGATGCTGTTACGCTGAAATGACGTTATGGTTATCTAACAACAAACTTTATATGGCCAACTTTTCACTCAGCGCATGAAGCAATGACACTATTTCGAACATCTGCATCCTTATTGAATAACGCTTTGGTAGGTTAGGTCAGAAGGGCGTGTCTGGAATATTCCATACCTTCGCTAGGAGACATAATTGTCCATTGTGAGTGCCCTATTTAAGCGAGTGTCAGGAAGAGATACGTAACCACGATCGAGAGCGTAGCTTCAAAGATATTATTCTACTGAACCAAATACTATCCGAAAAGAAGCAGGGGAAATGCAACAGTTCCACCTCCGCTATCGCGCACAGACTGTTGGAGAAGCGTTGAGGCGCTTCGTCTGTAGACCTAGACATCGACACAGAAAGTGGTCAATTGACTCTTCCTTATCCTCATTACAGCAGCTCGCCACCATGGAAGCTTTGTATTATTTTGCTTTTTTTAAATTTAAAGTTTATTTACATATAAAAAATAGAGAATTATTTGAAAGTACTTACAACACAAGCCTTAATAGACTTCCAAAAGTTCCTCGCAAAGTCTTCAATCTTGCCGCTTTTTCTTGAAATCCTTGCACGTTTACAGTTATCCGCTTGACACCAGCAAACGAATTTGTTGTATGCAATTATTGGGTGCAATTATAGTACTATTTTATTTTTTATTTTTTTTTCACACAAAACACTCAAACTAAATAACGCATAAAGCGTTTGATTATTCCTATATTAATTTTTTTTTGTCGTTTGGTTTTTCGTCTCGCCCTTAAAAAGTCCTGCACACAGTTTTCATGCACGCTTCAACTCTTCTTCACTATCCCACGCGCAGAATAACACGCCTTTGTTGCTGATATTGGCAAAATACGCACGCAGCTTATACCGGTCGAACAATAAATCGATTGCCGGCCAAAGAATTTAGCACTTAGTGAAACAAACATCGACGCTTAACAGTCACATTGCTAAATGTGTGTGTACGCGCACGACAAAACTCGAGTTAACCGTTACACTACGAAAAATTGTTTAGACATAGATTGCGAGCGTATCCTTTAGCTTACGATATGTGTAGTAAGAGATAAGTGTATTTTATCGACTTATCGATAGCGGTAGTAAGCGGTAGAAAAGAAAGTCTACTTCAAAATTTTTCGGTTAACTTAGTAGCTCTTTCGTAAAGCGTTTTAATGCCTCAAACTTTCTTAAGTAGCGCTTGTTTTCTTCTTTTTTGAGTACGGTATTTATCGGCTTTCACTTGTGCACTATCGTTATCACATACTCTTCACATCTGCAAATCTGTCAGCAATCTGAGCCATAACGCGTAAGAATTGAACTCAGTGGCAGTATCTTTGCTATCTGCTTAAAGCCCTCGGCGTCTTTTTCTTTCACTCCCGTTTTTTGTTCACTTTCTTGCACTCGTACATCAGCACACTGTTTACTTGAGCTTAATTTTTTTCTTCACTTTGTATTGGCGATTCTGTTGATCTATGGCAAAATCATATCGCGATCTCTGCACATTTTCGCTGCTCAAATTGTTGTCGTTCGTACCGAATAAACGGAAAACTTTTAGCGAATACGTTGTGGCAAAAGTTACAGAGCCAGTTGAGAAGAAGTCACCACAGCCCTGTGTGTAACCTCTAAAAGAATCTAGCCACCAAATAAGAGTGCGACTACAGCTGCTGCTGCTGCTACTGGCGATTGAAAGTAGGATCGCCAGAAAATTACTGCGTTAACACGGAAGTAGTGCGAGCCAGATTGTCTTTATGATAATCGCTCAATTAAACAATCGATAGCTAATCACTTCGCATTCAAATCCTTACACTGGATTTATTTTAGGCGTTTTCCGCTATTAATCCACTTTCCGCTACCAAATTCTTTGCGGTTGTTGCCGGCTAAATGCTTTAAACCAAAATGTCTAGCTTGAGGCTAACGATGTGGCGTTTTATTGATTGAACGGCGGACAAACTTACACTGAGGGGCGGTGACACAATCGAAAAGGCTGTCGGCTTGCCAAACGGCTGCTAGTCGGATTATCCGGTAATACAATTCGACAAATGCAATACAAAACCGCTGCTGGCGATCACAAACGCAGCTGGCGAATTTCCACAGAAATATTGCAAACCTAACGCCGCCCGCAATGTTTTGTTTCTTTAACTGCACTACTAAATATGTAGTAAGCTTTTAGGCTTTCAGGCGTTGTGCCTACTAATTGGCTTGCTGCTGTAAGTATTCTTTTTTCTTCCTCTCTCTCTCTATCTCTCTTTCTTTAGCTCAGCGCGAACGCACGCGTGCCTTTTATGGCACTCTCCTCTCACACAATCTCCTTGTTGGCCTTCCTGCTTTGACTTGCTTCCCCACGCCCTTGCTTGCGTGCTCTCTCTCTCTCTCTCTCGTCTCCTCTCTGAACGGGCGCTTGACACGCACACGCACTTTTGGCACCTGGCGTACTAGTCTACGTAGTTTATGTCGCTGTGTGTGTGTGTGTAAGTGGGGATGTATTAGTGTTTGTATTTGTATATATGTTGCTCGTAATGTATTTGTTGTTGGTGTTCTTTTCGTGTTGCACTCGTTTCGCGCTCGCTGACGCGACTCGGCTAGACTCGTCTCTGCTTAGCTGGCTTGGCGGCGGTACACAATCTACGGCTGTTTGAGGAAATGTGTCGACACCAGCCGATATCTTAGCATGGGGGGTTTGTTGTGTGCGGTGTGGGTGTGTGTGTGTGTGGGTGACTCCTCTTTGGTGGCGTGTATTTACGCTACTTTACAACAGTTATTTTTACACATAGTAAATGTTTAAATTTTGGCTTTTACACACACAACTCGACGCCTGTAGAGAATCGTTAATTGACGATAAGAAGAGGTTGCCTCAGTTGACGAAAGTTTTTAGGTGCCCGCTTGTGGCACTTTTGAAGTTATTTTTTGCGACTTTTCTATTTTATTCGATTTTCGCGTCGATAAGATTTTTATTTGAGAATTTTTAAGTAGTTTTTTGATGAGTTTTTAAGCGCAGATACTTCTACTTGCGGTGTACTCAGAAAATAAGGAATTCTGTAAAATATAAGAAAAAAAAACATATTTAAAAAGTTATTAGAGAAATCATAAAAAAATATAAATAAACCCGATTCAGTGAGAATTGGAAAGGTTAAAATATATTATAAGTGCATAGCCTTAATCCTCTGCGACTACTGTGCCCCACTGAATGCATGCACTCAGCAGATTTTCTTTGTTAATTAATATATACTGCGAATATGAATAATTTTTCAATTAAAACACATAGTCTATCAGCCAAAAAGCAGTAAAATTTTATTCTACTCCTTGTAGTTTTGGTAGCAACGGTCAAATATTGACACCCAGTTTCCGAGAACTGCGCACCAATGTTTGACGGATAAATATTGTTACGAATTTCTCAGAAACCGAGTGGTCACCTAAAATAATTTTGATAGTTCTAAAAAGCACATAAATAGCACCAAATTCTTGCATAGTATTAACCAGTGTTTGACGAAACTCAGCTAGCGCCACTTCATGTCAGCTGACCTAAACCAAATTTTTGCCAAATTTTTCGGAAACCGAGTGAGCACCTAAATTTATTTTTGTGGCCCTAAATAATTTTGTTGTCAGAATTTGAAAACGTGGGTCAGCTAGCGTAACGGACGTCCACATTCCCCTCTGATTCGCTAATACTACCTCCACTTTTATGGCCAAATCGACTGTGCAAAATATGGCAACACTGACATATTTTCATTTGTATTCTTAGAATTCTTGCAAAGAATAAACCGATACCAGCCAATTGTTTGTAAAGCGTATCGAAGTACAAAAAATACTCAGTACATACTTGCTGTAGAGGTACACGATTGCATACTTTTGAGTACTGGTATCAGAACATCAGTAGACATGATTGTCGTATTTCCAAGAGTGATCCTCAATGGTTCTCCCACCTGATCTTTACGTGGTAAGCTTATTTATTGACTATTACCTTTTATAGCCAGATGGTCAACCTTTCAGTTTCCTTCAATACCAACTAGTAAGACTAATTAGAAAATATTGCGAAGCAACCGAAAAAGAGGCCATTTTTTAAGCCGTTTTGATCCAAGCTTTAGACCTAAATGCTGCTTGCCTTTCGGAGCAAATAGATATTGTGCTCCCTTATCGACGTCACATACCTGAACAGCACATCCGACTGCTTTTTAATGGAAGTCGCTTCTGCCTGAAAATCAATAGAGAAGTAAGTCTAGGAGGCTAAATTTAAGTTTACATCGTTTTCAATTCTCGATTTCAAGGCTCGCTAAGCGACGCCAAATAAGAGATGTCTGAATAATTCGTTGGACAATTAATCATAATAATAATAGATTGGCGCTAACACATATGTTAGTGTTTGGCCGAGCTTCTCCTCCGATTTGTGGCGTGCGCCGTTATGTTGTCACACAAAGCGGAGGGACCTACAGTTTTACGCCGACTCAGAACGGCGATTGTATTTTTATGAGCAGCTGTTTTTCATGGCAGAAATACACTCGGAGATTTGTCATTGCCTGCCGACGGACGACCGCTGTTAAGAAAACACCTTTTTTTTCTATATTTTATGCGATGTGGCTTTGAACCCAGGCGTTGCGGAGTGGAAGCGCGCACTGCTTACCACTACACCACATCGGCCGACAATTAGCCTTTATAAAAAAAAAATGTATTTGCGATTTGGCTCTGGAATTGATATATTTAAGGAGAATATGCCGAAGGCTTCATGCCTGTCATACAAATATATTGAAATTATCGTTTTCCGAATTTTGCATTACTTAATGACATATGCTATTAATGCGCAAAGGCCTTTTGGTGATCTCCATCTTTTACATATGATTGTATTTAGTTAAATAAAGCTGTACACCAAAAAAAAAACGCGACATTGCAGTTCCATATGAAAAATTCAACGACCTTGCGGCTTGAAAGAAAAGGATTTGAGTCATTCCAAAAGCAAACAATTTCGGGCGATAAAAAGTGGATCGCGTAGGCCGCAGAAGATTAAAAAACAGGGGCAAAGTCCGAATTGCCGTCAAGCAACCTCCTGCTGAGTGATTGAAAGGATTAGTAAACAATTCATAGTTTAGAAAAAAGCTGCTCGAAGCTGACGAAATCATGTATCAAAGAATTGATTACGCCCCAATTCCATTTATTTCAGTATCTGTAGTACTCTCTTAATGTCGCAAAGCAGGCATCAAAAGTAACTTTTGGAAGTTATTTAATTCAAATGTTTCGCCCAGAAGTTGTACAGTGATGAAATTTTGGTTTTACTACGAATAAGGCAAAAGGTCGTCATCGTATTTTTCTTCTTTTTATATACAAAAATGCCGTGTGGGTCTGTTGGTACATTTGTAGTTTATAAACTCGAAAAGTACATAGCCGATTGCGCTCGAACTGATAACAAATATTTGTATGAGCGTCTATCGTGCTTAGGCCAAAAAAAAACCGGCAAGTTTAACTATTAAAAATACACTCCGTGTCATAATTATAAGCGCATCACATATTGAAACGTTTTAACAATTTAGTTTTTTTATTTAATTTAAGTTTTTTTTTAATAAATTATGGTTTATTTTTTTGCAAAAGCCTTATAAATCCAAGTCTCAAACTTTGTGCAATATCTGCTTATTTTAAAAATTCAAAAACTTTCGTAAAAATTTTGAGTTTTCAATTCGATTTCTTAGGCGGGTTTTTTTTAGAATAGAATTTCTGAATTTTAGTATAATAAAGTACAAGTTTGCAGTAGCTGGGTGTTACCGTTGCTTTTTACCATTTTTTTTTAAATAATTTTTTAATCATTTTTTATAATTTTTTAATCATTCTTTTTTTATTAACTATACAATGTTTGATTTTTGTTTTTTTTGCATTTTTAATAGTTGTCAAACTTTATGGAGTACACTGTAAAAACTTAAGTTTCAGCGAGCAGGCATGCCCTGCCAGCGCTACTTTATGCACGCAGGCATGAAATTTTTTTTCGAGATTTTCGAATATCGTGATGAAATAAAAAAATATGTATCTTTTTTGTTCGGTAAAGAAAGTAAAAACAATACTTCTCACCAAAAAAACATAAGAGGTGTAAATTTTGTATGGAATGACACATACATATAATAAAAGGCCTAGATAATGCACTCGTTCTTCAAAAGCGTATTAATCGATAACTTGTCTTTTATGATATTATGCGCTAAAAATCCTTTTAAATGGAGACTGACATTTTTAGAAATCCCATTTGGCGGATCGAATATGGAGGACATTTTTTTTAACCGCATATGACCGTGAACTTTTAAAATTCAAAATGGCGGAATTTTTAAAATTGATTGGATTCTCTTTAAATTTTCTTTTTTTAATAAATGTTTAAATTTTTCTGCCATATGATATTTTAAAAAATATCATCATCATTTAAAGGTAAATATTTTTACCGCATTCTCAAAAATATAACCGATTTCTTTTACCTGAACTAATTTTGGAGCGTGGGCTTCAGTTGGCGAAGAATGCCTCATGTTGCTTTACCATCAAGCAAAAGCGGAAAGATGATTTTGTTGGAAAAATGAAGAATGTGTGTGACATCATTATTTATTCTTTTCAATAAATACACCCATAGCCAAAATAATAGAAACGCTTTGTTTTGATCAGTTTTGACTATGTTTCTTTTGTTTATTTAATATTTATTATTTTTTATAAAAGTGCACCTCATTATCTAACAAAGCGATATAAATGCATATACCAAACTTAAAAATTCTGCAAATTTGCAATTATACCTGAAGAGCAAAACTGAAACAAACAGAAAGTTAAGTTTGTGGTAATGTATTTCTTCAGTTTATTTACTTTATGGTAATTCAAACTTGCATTTCGCCTTACCGATGTTTAACTAAACGTTTGACCATAAAAATTTCAAGATTCGCATATGGAAACTCAGAAAAAAATGACCAAACAAAAATGAACTGGATTGTTCCAGTTTTGCACCCTCTTAGTATTTGCTGAATTTTATAATTCAAAGAGGAGTTCTGGCTCATTTCCTGCAATTTTGTAATCAAGGCGCGTGGGATTTTCGCTGTGAGTGCTTTAAGTGCACAACCCAAGCAAAAAGAATTTAAAGTTTTTGCAAAATGGTCAGAAAGGCCACGCTATAAAGAAAGAAATCATATCGGCTAAATGTCCGTTTTATGGCTATCTAAACAAGCGATAAAAGGGCGGACCTCAGTCTGCAATATCAAGAGACCACAAAAAATTGCAATTTGCTAGGCTATGCATATTGGAGGGTCTCTGAATACCAAAAAAAAACTTTCGATTCAAAATCAAAAATTACTGCTTTTTCACCACAAAGCAAGTGACTGGACATTATGTAAGACATGGGAACAAGTTATTGCAGCACAGAGATGAAGAGGAGAAAGCCTGCTTTGACATCCAGAAAATTTTTTTGTCAGAAACGCATTTCTACTAAGAAAAAACATTGGATTGCTATTATTTTGATGCGGGAATTTACAAGTTCTTCATAAACGACCACATTATTCCACCAAAATTTACTATTAATTAGGGCACGGCCCTAAATTTTTTAACTCTGAGGATAAAATTAAACGTTTTAAGTCCGAATATTGGTTCAAGTGCTGTGCACCTGCATCAGGGATACGCCTAACGTTCCAAAATATTTAAACTATTAGGTTTGTATGTGTACATACATTTAATGATGTAGGGCCGTGTTACGCCTTAGGGAGTAAGAACTGTGGTAAAATCGACGGTAAAAAGAAAAGTGACAGGAAATGAGCTTTTTCAAAGAATTTGGCAATTTCTGAGGATATTTTTCGCAGGCTTTTTTCAATTTTAACAGGACAATGATCAGAAATATCCTCCGAAACAGGGGGCCAAATAGGTATAAATCACCAGACTTGATTCAACAGAAGACTTATGGTTTGATAATGCCACTGTTCAATTGCGAAAATTCGCCCAATCGCATGCAAGACCTTGGGCATGGCGTTGAGGAAAACCGGTGCGCGTTCTCAACAGATTTCGTCTGAAAACTGTGCGAAAGTATCCCAAGATGACCATAAAAG